TCGCGCAACATTATCGACAGAAAACAGGTATCAGCAATTCAATACAACATGATATTATATATTCGTGCGTCGTATGTATCGACGTTTTCTGGTATTGAATTATTTTTCTAAGAACTTTCTCTAGTGATGCTCACAAATTGAAACTTTAGTTTTTTTTTTTTTTTTTTTTAGAAATAAGTACGCTTGAAACGGGAGTAATCTTCCTATTTTTATTTAGCAAGCAATCTTAGTAAATCACAAAGTAACACTTGTACAAGAAAGTATCCGAAAGCAGCTTTCGTAGTTGTGTGATACTAAATATAGCGTTGCCGATATGGCATGTAGTTGGTAGAAAAAAAGGGACCCATTTCATTAAAATGTATATAAGACGAAACTACAAGTCTAGAGTCTAGTATATTTTAGCATTGATGATAGCTTGAAATAATGAAGAAAGTACATCTAGAAGAGATCAGCTCATACGAGATAGTAGAGAATATTTCTAGACTATCTTATTGTTATTAATTATTAAACATAACGATGCTACTACAGCACCTAAATTCGCAAAAATGTTTTTTTTTTTTTGCCTCGGACTAGAAGAAACAGATTATCTCGATATTTGTATCGTCGGCGCTCCCATAAAAAAAACTGTAGAGAAAAGTGTGATTCATAGGAATTATTAAATACTAATACACTAAAGCATGATATTATGAAAATAACATTTGTCAAGGCTCTTTAAGGCGGACTCCTCAATCCTGTAGAATTGAAGACCTTGCAGTATCGGAAGGCTTGCGGAGAGCTCATTTCATTGATAAGAAGCAGAAAACGTTAAAGTTAGAATTATTATTAATGTTACTGTTACTTACCGAGTCCAATGCTACATTAATATATGTGTAGTTGCTGGTTCTACAGGGCGAATATTTAGGCATCGCTTATTAGATGGACTATGTAAAAACAGGCTCTACATAAAGCTCGTTTCGTGTAAGTGAACCAGGAAGTTGGTAGGATTTGATCTCACGGATGGACCAAGTTCCAGGAACTTTTATTCACAAAACCAAAAGATATGATGTCACCCTTCGTTCAAAAGTAAAAACTCAAAAAAAAAAACCTGCAGAGTTTGATGTAGAATAGTTGTATAGTCACGTAGAGATTTCACCTGGTGGTAGGAACTGATCTTTGGGAATTCAGATGCTACCTATATAGCGCTAGGATACATTCGTGATCTTCACTCGTACGTATTCGGGGTACGTACTCAAAACATCGGCATTGAAAAAAAAAGAGGCTGAGATGCTTGGCTTGACACTTAACGAAGTCTCTGCCATATAAAGAATTATCGATGAAATAGAAACTATCCGTGGCAAATTTCTCTATTACACATATATATTCGAACTCTAAGATCTGTTTTGCTTGTACGACGACATAAAGGTGTTTCGTAATAGCCGAGTATAAGCTGGCGAGGGAACGTACTTGTTAGCTGCCGCTGCTGATTTCGTACAGGCAATGCAGGTGTCGTTTTGTCGCGTCCGAAGGATCGCGCCCAGCTCGTGTCTTCAATGGGAGGAAAATAGAGGACCTTCGTTATGTGTTCGCTTATGGTCTTAGTTTAACATATAGCTTCAATACTCGTTATATGAATCAAATGTTCTAGATGACTCACCCTTTTATCATAGTGCACAATATGCGTACCCCTCTATGAAGAAGTAAAATCAACCCAGATCATAGCAACCGCATTTCATCATGCGTAATGCGTGGACCGAACCAATCATTGTCTGACGGGAGATGACCGTACATTCTATATATATAGATGTATAACTTATATACGGCAGTATGATATAGGTATCTTTACAGATAGATGATGGCTGAATTGTTCAGGCGGCAATGGTCTAGATGAGAAGGAGAGCGGAGAGATGTAAACAGGGAAGGTTAAGAAGGCATGGCATCGTAATCATTCCAAGTGTAATTACTCCTAAATTCTGTCGGGACAGACAAGCACTCTTTAGTGCTTCTTGCTCGCTAGTACTTCTTTTCGGTACGTATTCGTTTCAAGCGCAATTCAACGATTCCACGATTTTTTGCCATTAATCATCGCTGATGTTTGATAGTACTTATGACGGCGGCGGCGGCGGCGGCGAAGGAGGTTTTATCATCTACATGATACGATTAGGTCAGCTGGCACCATTTTCCGTTATTGTCATTGGCTCTTATGTTTCCGTTCGTCTAGCGGTGCTCGTGATACCCCACCTCATTCAGCGTTGTCTTTGTACACATGCGCTTGACGTGTACGTAAATGGCTGTGGGCAAACGACGGGCCGATTCATGGAGTCGGATAATAACATTAGCTTTTAGACCACTATTAGTGCTCGTTACGACGGTGGTGGGTAAAGGCTCTCGATTCTCGCGACAACCTCGACGGGCTACTACAGGTAGTAGTAGCCGCCACTGTGGCTATAACAAACCAACGAAAAAGTAGGCCCACGGATGAATAGGCAGCTATTCTCCATTGTGTCGGTCGGTACCTGATTGCCACTAATTATACCGACAAACACATATTCATGTGTGTACAAGTACTTCAACATGCATTGGTATGTACATACAGGTGTGCGTTTACACCAGTACGGACCGTTTGTACGTACAGCACTGATGCTTTTTTAAATTCGAGATACTGAGGATATAGTCCCAGTATGTAACAATCAAACAACTACAGCGGATAACGATGGTGATAGCCATTGAGCAAAACAAACGAACGTACTCAATTACCTATCTGTCTAGGTCCTCACACCCTACCCTCGGCTTCGTGTCCTCTTTGCTTCTACTACAGATATATATTAAACAAAAAGTGGAAAAAGAGCAATTGTTTAAAACTTATGTATTTATCCATATACTAATATAATTATTTCGGATATGTCATTCATACAAATGTATTATTTAGCATTGAGTCGATAATTACACACATGTCAGTGAAAATCTTCTATTGTTGGTGTTTCAGACGGTAAAAAATCGACACACACACACACACACACACAATGTGGTTTTTTTTTCCAGAAATAATGGGTTATTGAGCCGGAAGTATTAGAAACGTCCTTAGGGAATAGTGTACGAAAAACATGACGTCGTCGAAGATAATGCCATTGAAAAATGTGTGGAAATAATATTTGTACGCACATATTGCAATGGGTTAATTACTATAACATAAATTACGAATAAATACACGTTTGCATATATATATATATATAGGCGAAGCGCGTTGGCGGCAACGGTGGGCCGGCTGACGATGTGGGCACGTTGGTGAGCTGGCTCGTCGAACGTCTGGGTAGTTAGATGCTGGAATCGGCCTTCGATGATAGTCGGGGGGAAAAGGTGGGTCAAAGAATTCGAATGTCTCGGTCAGCATCCCGACAAAGTAGATGACACCAAAAGAGCGACAGAATCTACAAGGGACGTTTCGGGTGGATGGGAAGCGACTACGTAGGACGACCTCAAGAATGAGCTATATAACAGTTCCTTTTTTTCCCCTACAGGAGATATCGGAGACGTTCTAAAGATTTGTATGTACCAAACGAGAATTACTGGATGAGTTAAGCTCAAGCTCGAATTTTGTGTGTTCCTAGTTTACATCCGTCAAATGGCGAGATCAGCTATTTTCGCTAACTTTACCGGAGCAGCAAGAGTGACTTCTTACCTAGGGTTTGTTCGAGTGATCCAAGGCTATACGCCGGAGAGGCCTAATACACGCTCCTCGAGGGACCCCTAGTACAAAGAAAACACCCGTCGCTTTTCCGGAACAAGCCATATCAACCGGTAGCGTTCGAAGTTGGCAGGTGTTAAGGCACGGCAAACCAACGAAGCAGGTTCCATCTGTATTGGCACTATAACGCTCGGAGTCCTAGCTCTGGATATGCCAACCCGTATGCACGCCATTGAAAAAACCATTATTAGTGCTTTGATGAGGCTAATCGGTCGTGGTTGACAACACCTGGTTGGTGACAATACGCATATCGCGGGAAACATAAACGATCAATGGGTTCATTCCCAACGATGGCACACTCGTCGAATCGATCGCAACGAGTCCTGCCAAAACCAACCGAGACCTAGAAGTTTACAGTCTGTGATCGGCGCCATTTCAACGTAAACAAAATCGTACGCTAACTGTGGTGCCATATCTTCCAGATTGGGAGAGTTCTGCTAGACTGCGTTGACACGTACAGATGGCGGCATAAAAGTTAGGGAAGTACGTCTCGTTGGTACCGGTCGGCAAACGATTTGCCAATCCGCCGCTGGAAATGGCTAAACATTATGCCCTGTTGGCCAACGCAAACGGCCGTGACCCCTACGCCTAGTGACCCATCAGCATGATGTGCTTCAAGATGAAGCGAGGTCTGGTTATGTGGGCTTGTTGTCGCGTGCTCATGCGAGGTGTCCCAGATGGGGTTAAAGGCCAGTAGTTGCGCCGACAACTCGTCTGTTTTGGAGACAGTGAAATCTCGCCCATATGCCCGCAGAAATTACGAAAACGTTGAGTTAAATCCACTGAGCGCTAGAAGATACCGGCCACAAAACAAGGACGTTCCGCCAGATCAGCGTAGCCGAGTTCTATTTTTATAACATATACACATATATATATAACAAATAAATACACATATGTATATATAAGCGTAGACCGAAAGGGTATGAAGCGCTCCGTCCTACCAAACCACGACAAAACTAAGCTGGTTGGCTTCAATATCTATTGCAAATGATGATAATAAGCAACGCGCACTTGCTTTTGCAATTTGACTGCTTCACTCAGATAGGATAAAAGGTCCGAACTTCAAGTTGCGTGAAGTCAATTGAGGAACGTTAGCAAATATATTAGATCCTTCAATGCCCTTCAATAGCTAAATTGAGGAACTGATTTCCCGAGCAGTGGAAATAACTTCTGTTGCACAGATGGCGGCGCACTAATTCTAGTTGAACATTTTGAGGTTTTCTATTCCTGTGTTAGTTCATGCACAACCTACATACAAACTATGGATCATTAATAACGTCAGATATCGCATAATAATAATATCATTTATTTCTCTCTTGAGTGTTATAAATAAATAGCAATGATTGGTTGGAACAGTTGGAGGAAATAGTCGACGAGGAATTGACTTTGGACTTTCGAACGGCTCACACTGTTCCGCGCGCCCAGTCGCAGCTGCGAGACTCCTGCGACTGACGCCCCTGGTCTCGTGGATTTATGAATCGCCCGTACTCAGTCATCCATCTTTTTACAGGGCCACCGATTTGATGAAACATATATTGACAAATCTAATTAACAGTGGGTTTTTGAAGATTGGAATACTTATGTGTACAACTTTCGTATTGAACCGCCCTGTTTTTGACTCTTACGGTTAGTACATGAAATGAACGCATAAAGTGCTAACCCTTTAATGCTATAGGTTGATCAATAAAACCTGTACAAGGACAATCACAATCTCCGTTACACTGAAGTCGAAATTCAGTTTGTGATGATGGTGGTACGGCACGATTAAGTAACACTAATTAGAGGACCTAATTGAGCCTGGTAATGATAGGGTTAATTGTTTTGTATGAACACTGCGTATACGTAAACAGTCCTTCGTGCCACGTCATCCGTGGTACCGGCCATGGAATTCGCTATTTTTACTTCAGCAGAGAAAAACTTTTGTCAAATAAATGCGGAAGGGTATTTACCAATGTCGTGTTGGTAATTCAAAGAATCTAATAGACTTATTGTTTCGACGATGTGGCTTTTCTCTGTCTCATCTGTATTTCTAATTTTAATATTGTGAATTTCTCTAGAGTTATCTATGTCAGCCCTCATCACCATCATCGCCTGATTTATCGTCTGACTGGATCATCGAAATCATTACCATTGATAATCAAACGTCTTTTTTTTTGGCTGTCATAATCACCAGTATCACCAGCGCTATAATCCATCATCGCTTGAACTTAATGTTACTTAACACAGAAACATTTTTTTACTATATCTTCTTCTATAGAGCGTCGTAATAGCCGACTCGACCGTCACCATCAGCATCGCTGCTACTGTCTACAAAATAACCCAAAGAGAACCATCGTTACTACCATCGATATGTTTTTGCTATTAGGGCCGTAATTCTATAGTTAGGAGTGCAGCCGTAGAGTGCATTTAAACTATGACGATCTAAGACTAAGGATAAAAAGTACATCTTCTTTTAGAGCGCATCATCTATTCGATGTCTATAGACTTCACTGAGAATTTTACCGTGACAATAGCATTGACGATGTTGGTGAGGGCTCTTGGCTATTCGAGGTATTGCATCTAAAACAGAATAATCCTAACGATCGCGGTCCCGTTTTCCGCAAGCTGTTCGTTCGTTCAACTCGCTATGCATGAACAATGTCACTCCATTCATCATCTTCGGCTTCCGTAATCCGACAAATGTCATATATACAACGGACATTGAAAACATGCGACTATCTCCTTTACGCACGCTTTTATTTCTCGTTCTTCCTTTTCCATCTGTTCTCCTCTGTTGATGCTTCCTGATCTCACCACACCTCTGCGAATCGGCATCAGCATGACGAGTTTGCCATCATCCACAACGCTGCCGCAATCACACATTGATAATGAATGACGCTAGGGGATACGCACAACAGAATTGGGATAGATAGAGGCTGGTGGAAATCGTGGCACAGCCTCTCCTGAATCGATGCCCGATTTCAGCACAATTCGAACAACATTTGAGTATAAATAATCTGTCCGGTTCTGTATCAGATTAGGCGGGTCAGGTCAGAAGCCCCCAAATGGGTGAAGTCGGAATCGCGATCAAGGGCCACTCTGCAGAAGGAACTCTGGATGATAGGTAAGGCAAGACCTAACCAGCCGAAGGCGATATTCTATATACACACGTTTGCAGTATTAAATCCTTTGTTTCTTTTTTTTGCTATCTATAAATATCTTCATTTTTCATGCTTCTTGCTCTGTTTGTCCGACGCCGTCACCCCTAAATTTAACCTAAATTGTTTTAGTATCGTTGGTCTCGCTAGAAGTTACCATCGTTTACCCTCCGGCTGGGAACCTGTTGCCCGGCGCAAGACAAACGCGTCTGCGGAAGCGACGTTTCCCTGCTGCTGCCGCTGCTGCTGCCGCTGCTGCTGCCGCTGCTGCTGCTGCTATGCGTCGTAATGCCGTCACTGGACTTTATGCGCACCATTATTATTGTTGCTAGACCGGTGTTCATCGGGCTCAGGCTCGTCCAAGTCACATGTCTCCTCCGAATCACTGCAGTCAACCACGTTAAGCTTTTCATCGTCGGCGTCGGGCTCCGAACCTCGGGGTGACCGGCTAGTAGCTCTCCGCAGCAATTCAAACGGATTCGCTCCGGCCGATAGACTGGATAAAGCGGCTCCCCGATGCATCGCTGCCAGGCTAAACAACGCTTGCGGCGTCAGCGGTGGAGGTGTGTGCGGTGGGGGCGTCACACTCGCTGATCGCCGTTTGACTGTCATGTCTTCAGGCTCTGGCGATCGGCGGGCGGCCAATGCGGCCGCTGACGATAACAGGTTATCGATCGAAAACGACGCTACGCCTGAGCCATGCCGTGGTTTCAGTTGTAGGCCTTGTTGAGAAACTAGACGCTGAAGGCTGGCAGCGACATCAGCTGAACTATTGCTTCCTGTATCCTGACTTGTTGGCGATGTCAGAACTGGACTTGGCTCCATCTGAAACTTGACGAAGAGCTCAGCCACGTTGATTCCCATTGATTCCAGCAATGAAAATGTTTCCTGTCCCATAAGGTCGGCCGGCTGCTTTCCAGGGGCATGGCTCCAGAGTTCGTGCAGCGCCTGCTGAATGGCCTCTTGGAGAGAACCAAGATTCACTCCGGGCTTGAGGCGCGCTTGTTCAAGCCGCTTTGCTGTCCGATCGAGCTGTTTTCGCAGCTTTTTCTCCTTCTTATCGCGTTCACGGCGTTCGATCTCCTCGGGCGGAATGGGATCTCCTGAACATGTCTGCGGATGTGCATTGTGAGCAGGCCGGCCCGGGCCCTTTTTCGTATTTTCCTTCTTCCTCCACTTGGCTCTCCTATTTTGAAACCACACCTGAAACCATAACAGAGCAACACGGGAAGCGTAACACGAAATTCACGCGACCGTTAGATAATCGCCAGCGATAACATCACGTTCACCGACAATACGAAACGCTATACGACTACATACTATCTCTTTGAAATTGTCTATGTAAATAACGTCAAATCTCGGAGGTAGAAGAACTCGACGTCCTTTAACGGGCACCATGTGTGAACATCCTGTCACAGTATAGTCATATCAGGATAGGTAAGTTTCTTCTTTATTCCGCATAATCGGACGACAACTACTAGTATCATAATAGGTCCAAAGCACTGAATTAGCAGCGACGGGTTGGCGCACCGTAGGCCGTCAAACGTCGGCACTGGCCATTTATCTTATCGGACTCTCGTCGTAGTGACAACACGGACGCCATAAACATAAACACATCCGAAGAGGGGATCTTTGTTGGCGAATGTTAATTGTCGTGATCACCTTGTATACAGTTTTAATTTGCTCTTAGCAGGTTAATCTTCAGGATTCAAAGGCAGCTGGTACTGCGAGTCAGCGCTGACGACGTCAGATCAGAAATGCCTACAGCTTTTCGTAGACTGCTGCCGTTGACTAAGCAGTAGATGGATGGATGAAGACTTCATTCAACGTCGTCACGCTCATCTTCGGCACTTCTGATTACAACAGATCAAAGCAAACTGCACGATCCCGTAAAGAGCTAAGAAGGATGCCATAGGGCACGGATTGCTTTTTAATGCCTAGTTGCGTCGGTTGACGCTTAGTCGTTCTTGTTGGCGTTGCGTACTTCGCACCGAAATAGGAGGAGCTAGCAGTTACTCTGTTAGAGCAGATCGTATGGGAGGGTCTTCTCCTCCGCCCTTGATTGCGCAGTTGTTCCTTTCTGTACTTTGTCTAAATTTCATAGTCACGGCATACGTATAAACACCGTCTCGACCAGTAAACTCTCCATGCTTCCCAAAATGTTGCCACTGCTGCTACGACTGCGACTGAGAATTCGACAGTCGTTAGGCAGCTACCCAAACAGCTCAGCGTCGCTTATCCTAGTTATAATCGCTACCATGGCTCTGGTCATGGATCCAGGAAAGTGGTAGACAAATGGGTGGGTACCAGGACAGGGATCGAAATGTACAGACGCAAATTTTCTATTCGCTGGCGAAGCTAGCTAGTCAGGAACGATGAGACACCACAGACAAATGAGCATGGCGAAGAGCCCAGCGCCCTCCTCTTCTACGGGTACACACGTATACACGCGCATGGGTCTGCTAGAAGCCAGTTACCAGGTGTACATTGATGCCTGATATAATTTCTACTTCTTAACCGGATGAGAGTATTTGAGGAATAACAACAGATCAATACACAGCATTAATCTAAACAAGTGCAGCTGCATGGGAAGGGTTCGTTTTCTTTTCAGTATGAAGCCTTACGACCCGGAACGGATAAAAAAACCGCAATCGAAGAATCATAAATATGTAAATCCTAGTGTTAGCAAAACTCAAAGCCATATGACTATTGGCAGTTACGCATATATATATATATATATGCCACATATAGCCCGCTAATCGTGGGGCATACGTGTAAATGAATGGGGATGGTCGACATAACAAAACGGTTTAGGCAACAGGAAAGAAGAACAGCAGTATGACTGCTTCAGTTGACTCATGAATATTAATGAACACTCACAACGGCTGGGTAACTTCAGCTGACGAGAAGATGCCAATTCATTAGGTGCTCGAGACATTCGGAAGCAGAGCGACGTGTAAATATAACTAACTATATATGTGGTCTTCTCATCCAAGCTGGCAGCTTCTACTGGATCTCATTTCAGCACAATGATCATCGCTATATTTTGTAGTGGAGGGGAGCTATCAATAGCTTCGTTGACCTGTTTCCTGTCACCAGGACGGGCTAAGCTGACGGTATGAATCACATAAAGCTGCTAAGCTAAAATCAGTTGTCTTCACGTAAAGCTGTTACGTCTTGTCGTCAAATGTATGGAACATTATAACGTATATCATATGCATGCGTATTATCAGCCGTCTTATTCCGTTATTATTTCTATGCGCTTCTTTGCTTTCCCTCTTATATTTCTCAAGTGTAGCAATTTTGTATAATTTCCTTTGATAGATTGTGTTTTTTTTGTTTTTTATATCCTTAGATAGAGAAGGCAGACCTGCAGCTCTGTTCCCTGGGACATTATGCGCTCAGCACTGCCGTCGCCCGGTGTGTTTACGAGAGCGACCAGTCAGCCTGGACGTGTATAGCTAGCGTTACGTCCAAGATCACGTCCAAGCCGCGTTCGTTCAACGATATTTTACTAATTGCTTCTCGCTTAATTATTACCGTTGTTATTAATGAGTTATTTCTTTTTAAGGCCCTTCCTATACAGTAGTAGTTATGCCGCTGCTACCGTTGTTTTTTTCTCTTCATCTTTTCTAATTTTTTATTGTTACTATTAATAATAATAATATTATTTCATCTAGTCCAGATGAGGGACGTTGGCGAAAATTCTGTGAACTCCTTTTCGCATTTGTGATGTCCCATCTCAACTCAACGCGCAGCTCGCCCCTCTTCATGTTCTACTGCCTGCCGTCGGCACCGAAATACGCCGCTGTCGCCATTACACATGCTACCCCCGTAGTTTCCTCTCTTTTCCATGACGACGCTCGACGCGCCGTCAAAGCGCAGGATAAATGGTTAGCCTGACTTCGTAAGTGAACGGGCAAACGAGTCAGCGCCAAGACGTACCGGCGTTCTCCTCACGAAATGGCGGGTGGCTAGCCGACGCACAGTTCACACAGACGGACGGATAGCCAAGCCGAAGAAAAAGAAGGCCGACTCGCGCAGCGTTAAACGTCGCGGCCGCGATCGTCGACAGCGGGATGAACACGCGCACCCTTATCTCTTGTACTTAATTAATAGCGGAACAGCGGCAGACTTTACCTTCTCCGACTCACGGCTCGTCTGCTTCCAGATCTCAAATTGTAGCTAGGCGACCTGACCATTATATTTCACTTGTTGTTCCATGGCGGCCGTCGTCCTTTCAGTGGAATACTCGACGACGGGAGGGAAAGATTTTGATCTTGAGGGTCCGCGACAGTTCATGTTGGCCATAAAAACGACGATCTACTTAGAGAATGTAATTAGCGAATAACATATCTGAGCGAAAAAAAATGCAATAATTTTTTTAACTATTTTTGTTTTGCTTGATTATTAGATGGGAGAACGTCATCAGGAAAGATGAGTATCCACCTGATGAAAACGATGTGACATGTGTTGAAAACCTCAGTGGCCCTGCCCATATTTTTCTGTGCGTGGCCTTTCTGCTTGTCTATGCTTCTCCTCCGGTAATTAGATTTTTGTGCCTACAGCCCGGTCTAGCATCAGTTGGTTTGTATGGCTACTAGTGCGGTGCTATGAGTATTGCTCGAATTAGTTGTTCTCTGTATTGACTCATCATAAAGGATTCTTTCAGCTTGGTAGTAGGCGATAACCTAAATCAGTCAGTGCGCCTCAATGCTACGTGTTTTTGTTTGACGTATGCAGCGTTTCAGCAATGACGTCTTAATCAAACGCCAGCACACCGCTTCATGGGCACTACCCTCATGCCAATCAAGCAGAACACCGTTTCGTTCCTCAGACGTACAATTGTCCGCCATAGAAGCATTCCTGACCCTCCTCGGCTTGCTTCTTAATCATGACATGAAAATGAAGCGGGTACACTACTTTAGCTGATAGCAAATAAGGACGCCAAGACAGCCACCTCCTGTCATTCACAGAGGTTTTACTCATGATACGATATTAATAAGGATACTGCTGTGTTCGTTGTTGCTATCGTCGCTTAATAATAATAACGCTTTGTTGTCACGAGCGGTGTAAAAAAATATAAGAATAGCAAAGGAGGCAAGCAATCGTTGTTTTCCGCCAGCTAACAGCGAATCGATCAGCCGATACGTACAGCAAGTTTGACAGACTTATTTCGTATTAAACCCTAACTGTTAAAAATCAAAAGCAGGTTAATATTATATGCCCTGAGTAGAGGCATGTTCACCTTCAAGTCCGGTTGTTTCCCTACAACTTGCGCTTTTTTAAGCGACCCAGACATAAGAACCATAAGCATCCTCTGGCCTGTCCCATTTTTCCGCGCGAATCGCAGTACACCGAAAATGCCAAGTGAAGTTCATTGTCCGTACTCGCTTATTTCAGTTAGTTCTATTTTTATCTCGAACTAGGAGCAGTTCCGAATGATATGTGTATACACATAGCTTGTATGTTGCGCCAATGAACGATGAATAGTTAGATACACTATTGTAACAGGTAACTAAAGCATAATACGTTAATAAAACTATCCTTGTCCCCCGTTTGCGTTGTAGCAGGCGATCTTAGCGGGAGCGCGCTCTCATAGTGTCTTCGTCAGTCTAAAGGTCAGTTTGACGTTAAACGAGGTTCTCGTCTGATCAGCGCTCTTCTAAGCAGACGCATCTATTTGCCAACGTTATTTCTCTCGTTTTAATAGTTACATTAGCTGCACTAAACAACCAGCCGTCTATCTATCTTCTCGCACTAGAAGATAACAGATCACAGACTAATCGGCATCGCTGCTGGACGTAGGGAGTGTCCGCTAAAGAATAAGCACAAAGCGAACTGTCGTTGATAATCTACTGTCAATCACAGTCAGTCGAAGATAACGGAAAGGAAAACCTACCAATATAAAGTCGTTACTGGCTATACAATTAGACATCAGTCCGTTGACCGACCGGACGCTGTTAGCGTATAATGAACGTATTCGACTATATGGGCAGTATAATACACCATGGCTATCGAAAGAGTGTTATGACGCCGCTGCAAATGATTCAGTCCGAAGAGCAGCGACGTGGACATACTAAGGACGACGGCGAGGAAGACCCAGAAGAAGAGGCAGGAAAATCAGTCCGATGCCAACCAACATCGTCTGCGCCGATTCACTATCGCTAATATCGTCGATTTCGACCGCGAATAATGGAAACGTGTTCCAGAATCTGATATTCAGGCCAGTCAGATCTATCCCGTTTCGTCGTCGACCGGCGTAGATTCTTAGACAGAAAGCCGCTGACAGCGGACGAAGTCTCGTAGATACTTACAGCGGATGTTGCTGCCGTTTTGTAGATCCGATTGTCTGAACCGTAGGTGAGCGTAACGGCAGTGAGTTGTGAGAGCCAACTGGCTACAACAGAAGGTGAAGCGTTTTGTTGTCTATTGTAGAATATAGGGAGAAGGTGATGAGAGGAATCACTTTTCACGTTCTAACAATTCGATCGAGCGTGGCGAAACACATAGGGATCACGGCAACTACGCAATCACTGCGTCGCCAGCTGTTGCCATCGTCGAATCCGATCCTGGATTATTCTACTTACCGCTAAGTTTCAAGTTGCCAACACATGGTCTGGAAAGGGACCGTGCTCCGACACTTTCAATCACCTTTACGATAGATTTCTGTTGAAATTTTTAACTGTGTGACATGTTTGTTGGCCTGTTTCGTTTGATGCGCTTAGCACGGGACAGTGTTACGTGGGCTTTATCAAACCGTCAACTCCCTTGTCTTTATTATATATATTTTCAGAGAAATGGATGTACCTTCTTTTCTTTAGTCTATTTGTTTTCATTTGGAAAATCAGGCGCAAAGCATAAACCAAAGGTTGATATTATTTATCATCAATTCTCGATTGATAGAATAGCCATATAGAGACACTTCTAAATCGAGTGAACACCTCTTTAGGTTGCAGATTCAGGCTGTACGACGGGCAGCAGTCATCTCCATCATGTGTGGGACACTTTGTTCAAGTACGCTTTATGGCAAATCGTAACAAAATGACAGGAACACGATAGGACCCTGTGGCCCCAGTCCTACGAGGTTGCTTCGTCGGTCACAACTCATTAGTGGCATATTGTTTCAACTGTGTATTATTATATTGACTAATAGTTGCGTAAAAATAATCTATAGTTCGATAGAATAACATAGCCATTATGAACTACACACGGTTTGCGTATGAGCGCTTTCAACAATACGATGTGCTACTCTATATAAATGAGAATAATAATCTTGCCGGACGTCACAGGCACCAAAATAGGTTCGTAATTTCCGTCATAATTAGAAAAATCTCTATATCTATATGTAGTCGTTTGTGCTTACATGGCGTGTTGATTAAAAATGAGCAAGTTTAGCGGTTTCATAAGCTCGTATCAGTAATTGCAGCCGAAGTTGGTGCAGAGGTTCGATAAGGCGCTGCACCGTCGACTAAGCTTGGCCATTACGGCTGCCTCGCTATCCTTACTTAATTCATATAATATATTGTCTAGTTACGTAGCAAAGCTGCAATGAACGCGTAGACCACTCGTTTTATTGGCGATGAGTTCCATCTGAGCTTTCCTTGTTAGCTAGTTGGCACCTTCCAATGAGCGTGCGGCTTTGTATGTGTGGACATTCTGTGTGTATAGGTGGGTACGAAAGAAGAGATACGATTGGTATAGAGTGATCTGGCGCTGATGAGTCCCTAGCGTGAAACGAGTCCTGGCTTTTTGGCGAAGAACTTGAAGTTTGTCGGTGATCTAGAGCTTTCGTTTGTGCGTCTATCTATCTATCTATACGTTCGTGTGATATGTTGATCGTCCCTCGCGCACTTTGTTGATTGGAGAAGAACTCCGTGCATGATTGTCTATTCGATCAGTAATACTAAGAGACGACTTAGGTTTCTGGGTAGTTTTGCAGATTCCCACGTTCGAAGGATTTATTGCTACTTTCACTGCTACTACTACTCTAAGAGCAGTTTTGTTGTTACCGGCGTAATTGTCTCAAGTTTCCACCTCATCTACATTATGTCGCCTCATTGTTATCCATTGTCTTAAATTCACGTGACTTCCTATAACTAAATACTACATTCAGCAAACCGACAAGCCGGCGGCTTGTCAATCGGTTCCGTTTTATCTGCAGGAGATAACTGTGTTAAGCATTTCCAATTTTCCAGGCTCCTGAACCCTAAAACAGCAAGCCTAGACCTTTTGAATCTCTAAGATCACAGATGTTGAGACAAACGTGTAGGCACATAAACCATAGGTGCGATGCCCCTTTATTGAATGCAAAGGGCCACCCGTTTTCCAGGAACAGCAATATCTATCTACCTGTACGCGTGACTCAGTAAGATCGAGCCTCATGGCGAGTGCTTCACGCATAAACACGTCGGGGTAATGAGAGGCTTCGAATGCTTTCTCCAACTCATCCAGTTGGTGACTGTTGAAGTTGGTACGTGTCCGGCGTCGCTTCGCGTCCGCATCATTCGCGTCTGTAAGGGTAGACAAACAACGCTACGAGTTAGATATAAGGTTGCCAATGAAATGCCTCGAAAATCACACGCTTAATAAATTTAGCGAAATTAAACATGTTCAGCTAGCTAACTGCATCAATCTGTGGCCATTAGACTAACAATTTTTATTAGACCTAAGGCCTGATCATTTGTCGCTGTTTCTCTTCGCTTGCTAATGTGGTCCTACTGCACGGCCTGGAGCAACCCAAGAGGTCATCAGCCTGGGCTAGACCTCCTGCTATGGGCCGAGGCAGTCGAATGCACCGTTGGCTTTTATGCCAGCAGTAAATTATGTAAATTTGTGAGTAGGTTTTTTGCTGGTGCTGTTTAAGCAGCGCCTGGCGGTCATCTTTTTGAAGTGAATTCGCAAGGACCTCCGGACTATAAAACTTGCAACACAAGGCACATGATGCCATTAATAAATAAGCGTCAAACGACTGACACGGATAAATACTGTCGTCGTAGACGACGTACAAAAATACTTCTTGTCGTACATAGTTGAATGCTTTTCCATAGAAACCACACTATATTTCTGTGAAACTATTCAAATTACCTATCTGGATAATAAACATGTAGCTGTGTGACCCTTTTTTTTATTTCTTTCGCTCTTGAAATAATCAGGACCTTGCAGGATTGTCCAAGGACCCAGATTCATTCTTTGTCATCCAGAATACACAACCAGTAACGTCTCGCCGGCTACTGAGATGCAATGACATTATGAATCAAAATGTGTCATATATAGAACTTTATATTGCTACATGCACTCGCAGACGTTACGCCATTCCAACTGTAACCGACATACAATATACGTGTGTAGCAAGGCACACACACGCACAAACACACACACACACACACACACAGGGGCGTTTATAACGTTTTATCAAAAAAGAGGTCGCTGCTCGTAGTTCCAGTTATTGGTTCTCGTTGTGATATGCTTCGTCTTGAAGAAAGAATAGGTTCATTTAAATAAATCGTTTGCCTACCTGCCATGTCAGATCATCAGGCCCAAATTATTTGCACATGAAATTGTCTTTCCTAAAAACGGTAAAGTCTAGCCCAATGGACGCCCACCCCCTGGCCCAATCGATACCCGCTCTTTGTTGTCGCTTTTTGTTTCCTTTGATGCTACTTCGATCCAGTCGTTGTTCGTTTCTAATGCGGTCTTCCCTTTCGAACGGACACCGACATCTGTCCCTGGGTAAACACGAAGGCCGCGATTTCGTCGTGTTGCCATTAGGAATACACGCATCGCGTACATGAAAGGCTGAATTCTATATGACTCGTCGCACTCACTCAGCTTGCGAGCCTGTCATAGCGTTCGCACGTATGCTAAGGAACCTGACGACGGTTCGATATGATCATGAGTAATAATGATAATAACATCGAATTATCATTTCGAAATAAATGGCCGCGTTTAAACACTTGACAATCTACTTTATATTCTATGGAAACACTCAGTTTACGAACTTCGTCGTCATTCCGTACGCCGATCGAGTTGAAGTGTGACACTTCACGCAGCTTTCACAGACGATCCCAAATGCCTTCGACTATTGATGATGGAACATCTGAACGGGGTGAACGTCTGCCATTTGTTTAAGGCGATCTATTGTACGACGTACGTTTCGTAGGCTAGTAAAACACATAAAGGGTTCCGATATTTCGGCTATTTTATCACACGTGTGTGCGTGTGCTTCATGCTTGTGTTTTGCGTTTGTAGCAACGATGTCGATGTCGCTGGGGTTCTCTGTTACCGTGCTGCCACGGGGGCTAGGACACAACGGCCGCTTGGCAACCGAACCCACTCCATCTCTCCCACTTCAGGACACTGGTCAGGCTCTTCGTGTTCCAGCCATTTTCTCCCGCTTTCCCCGTTACCCCCGTGCTTCGTCGCTGCTGCTGTCGTCTGTCCGTCCGCCTGCGCCCCTTTTATTTCGATGCTTCCCTGCCTTCACTCCTCATTCGGCCATTCACCACCGTGGCGGCCATGACGGCAGCCATGGCGACCCTCTCTCTTGTTTCTCTCAGGCCGGCGCTGCTGGGTCTGTGGATAACTGGCTACCGTAGGCTGTTGGCGCTTCGCTCGTTACTAATACTACTGGTACTAGACACAGCGAGCGACCTGGGTAGCTGCGTGCGTGAGCGAGCGAGCGAGCGCTGTAGAACAGCGGGAGCTATAGGAAGAAATAGCTGCGGCAGTGAGCGCGTACGGCGGCTGCTTTAGCCGCTGCTGTTCATCTGATGGTGGTATCGGTAGTTCAAAGTGGTGACGGTGGAGCGGGCGGGGCCCGCCTTCCGTTGGTACCGCCTCCTCGAACCGCGAAGGCAAGTGCTGGCACTGGGAAACTGTGCTGGCTATAGCAGCGGTCGCCATTGCTGTAGATCTGTCCACCAACAACAACGACGGCGACGGCGGCAGTCCCACAACAACGCTGCTTGCTGTGGAGACGGAGACATTGACGGCGACGGCCGTCGCCACGGCCCGCGCCGGATTAATTCGAACGGCGCAACGAGCGCAGGGTCTGCGCTGGCGACAAGACAGCGAACGTAAAGTTGGCAGCGACTACTTCCACCACAGTAATAAGGACCACCAGCAATATGAGAGAGACACACGCACAGGGGGAGGCCGGGTGCTGGGGGCGTACAGGGAGAGAGAGAGACAGGGCGAACTAATAGACATTGATGCGACGCATAACAGCAGCGGGGGCAACAACGATCATCATCGAAAACAATTATTGCACAAAATGCCACATTTATTGCAGTCGCAAGCTACTCGAATGGACGTACGGGAGTGGCTCGTAGGATCCGGTTGTACGATGCTATTTCAGTCGTCGATGCGCGGAGGCGACTAGTTGAAGGAAAATCGGAGTTGCAACAGAAGGGGACAGAGCGAGCGGAGGGACCAGACATTGAAAGATAGGGAAGCACTGAAGTTCTCTTTGGAGAAAGACTACGCACTAGAGGGAGCACTCACATAATGCGCTTACTCTTTTATAAACCTGAACACATCGATACTATTCGCATAGCTTATGAATTTTTGCCGTATTTCAAGACGCTCCCTTATCTACGCCCGATTATAGATGCCCAGAGATATTTTGGCAGGAGCAGCTATTGTAACTAAAACACGAAACGTTTTCTAATTGATGAAAGCAAGTTTGGCACAAATGATTGTGTCAATGGTTAGCGTAGGATCGCTCTGCAGCTGAAGATACCATTGTAACAAATTCGTCCCCAGTCCTCTTTCAGAGCGGCAGAGTCCGAGCTGCTCGAAAGTAACACTGGCCAAAAATCTAAATTAGGTAAACGTAAAAAAGCTCGTACTTATCACCCGACAGAAATCATCGAAACATCACGCTTGTTGATTTTGGATCGTCTGCAATCATCAGATGCATCTTCCGTCGTAAGCGTATCCTTAATTAGTCGTAGGTCATGGCATCTACCAACAAAATCGTACAATTGTGTCTACCATTCAGCGGGAACTACACACAATTGTGTGTATTGAATAGTAAAAAATTAGAGAAACAATGGAGGCGCTCTCAGAGAATGTCGTTGAAGATGGTGGTTTATATTTAATTGGCACCTGCTATGGTCGTGACGATGATGATTGCATATAGCCCTCTGGGCTTTGTTTATAGCCGATATTCAATGGTATGCTCTTAGATTTCTGCTAGAGAACAGGGAAGATTATAATCTCTGTGATTCGCCTAAATGGATTCCCTCTTCGATTTTGTTTTTCCTTCTATATAACGTGCTTTTAGCGACGCTGTAACGCAATCTCGATCGATTTTTTTTTTAACAAAATCCAAGCAAACCTTCTACACGGGCTTGAACAGACATCCGGCGGATGGCTTCTTCTCGATAAACGAAGCCATCATCTGGACGAGCCTCCTCACGTCACTTGAGGAGTTCTTCATTCACCTCATTCGAGAAAACTCGTGTCGTGTTGATCTTCGGCGCTGTTATAGGTGTAGAATTCAAACTTTTAATACAAGTAAAGCAAACAAGTCACGAAGAACGTCTGACGACACAACGGAAGAATGGTATCACCGTGATCATTGGCGACGACCGAACGGATCGCGTCTACTGCGAATTTAACCCGGTACATTATATTCATTCTTCACGCGACCTCAACTCTCCAAGAAGGGCTCCGAAGTCCGGTAAACATTTAAAGCCGGCTAGAACTCGGAGTGCCGGTTACGTGGATTTGCCGTTTCTATTTCATACATCATCGGAGTATGCGTTCGTTCATAGAGACAGATACAACACCTCGATTTATTACTGTTCGACCCCGATGTCATGAACAATCATTAGCGCAGGATGAACTAGTAGACATTAATTGGTTAAAACTAGGCCAATATATGGGCAGCACCTAATCTGTGCCTGATTCTTTTAACCATTCTCATCTTAGTGCGAAGCCTTCGAGCCGTACTTGTTTGTCGGTAGCAGTATGGGCGATAAGGTGAGTGGCGTATTAGATTGAGAGAGATCGCCCACTAATCTCATCGTCGTTGCTATGGGTAGATACTTGTTTGTGTGCGTTTATTTGCGCTGTTTCCGTTTCTGGGGCGGGTCGGGTCGGGTCGGGTTGGGTTGGCCGCTCGTTCGGGACAGTGTTTTTCTAGTTCATCTGGCCAATGATTAAACATACATACTTAAATATACATTAGTCCGTCAGTCTCAGCCGGTTCAACGCTGTTGCCGCCGCTGCCGTTAACTCTATGATGAACACGATCGTGACGGTACTGCCCCGACCTGTTGACGCCCAAGAACGACTGTTGCAGCTCGCACTTCTGCTGGTGAGCATTCGTTCTGCTGCTACTGCTCTTTGCCGTTTGCTGGTTGAACCACTCGTATCGAAGTGCCGCTTGCTTGCTTGCTTGCTTGCTCGCCTAGCGAGTGAAGTGAACAAGTTGAGAAATTGAAGTCGAAGTGATGAAGCTGCGACGCCGTCTTCTGCCACCGTCGTTGTTGTCGACGAGATT